TAGATATAAAATATATATTGCGTTTATTTATATATATATATATATATATATATGAAATTTTTGAAGGAAATTTATGGACATTCATACATACACATACCGTAAAAATTTGTCGAAGCTATCTATTTCATTGCTTTTTAAAGAGAGTTGGATGTTTCTCGTGGAAAGACTGCGTTTTTGAAGCTGAAAGAACGAAATCGAGATAATTGTCGCACATTCGCACATTCGCGGCACCTCGTGAATAATTACTTGGTACTTGGGCGCTCTTTATTGGAAATTCCGGAACGAAGGATGCTGATTAATGTTCCGAAATCGGAATCGCGTTCCAGCGTGAAATCGCGGCCGTATCCGCTTTTCATTCCGGTTTTTTGCAGGCCATATATCGGCTTGTATCGTTCTCTTTTATTTGGGAACGGCGCGAAGTGAAATTCAATTTGTCAATTTGCATACGTGCCGGAATAAAATCTATCAGGCTTCCGAGAGTTGTAGTTTCCGTTTGTTATTACTTCTTTCTAAATCCCAAAGAGTCGGTTCTTCATCACCCAAAAGCAATTCGAAGCGTCAACGTTTCGTGAAAAATTATATCCGTTAAAATTTCCAGATGATAAAGTCATTTTTAATCTGTGAACTAACAAGCTACGATATTTTTATTTCTTTTTTTACGTTTTCATCTTGAATCAATACTGAAGATGTGTTTTAGATTCTCATATACTATTTTGATAAAAAAATGTTGTTTCTGTGTTCAGTATCTCTTCTTCGAAATTCTGACTAGGTACTTCGATCTTACGTAATATGGTTTCATTGTTCGTCGAGTTTATCGATTTTATAGTTTCTACACGTAGAACACATTTCGACACGGTTCTTAAATTTTTACAACATGAAGTTACGGATCATTAACTTAAGCATTTTTGGAGAAACGTAAGGGCGTATATTGGAATACGAGTGACGAATCAATGAGGAATGGCAAAAGGATATTTTTAAAACCTTTAAAGGCTTACGTCGTCGTACGAGCTAACTCGAGGCGTCTCATATTTATTAATTCTTTTTATAGTTTCTTTTTCCGAACTGTCCCGCGGGAGCGGGATATTTATCCGAATATTCACGGGGGACTTTCGCCCTTGACCGAGCACGTGTAATAGCGTGTATCGAGAATGACGTCGATCCGGGACGCGCGCGGGATGTGTGCTCCCGCCCGATTTTCTCAGAGATCTCTCCCTGCCGTATCTATTACCGTAATCTTCCGTCTTGCCGAGCGAGAATGTCGGATTCCGACTTTGAAGCTCGCTTTTGCTGCCACGGCGAAAGTCGAATCGGAAATCTCTTTCGTTCTTCCGGTGAACTTGAAATCGATTTAACTTTCTGACATCTCTTGGTACCCTCCTCGTTTACTCAGTGTACTCGCAGCAAAAGTGATTCTGAAAAATATTCCCTCGCTGGTAACGAATAGAGAGAGAGAGAGAGAGAGAGAGAGAGAGAGAGAGAGAGAGAGAGAGAGAGAGTAGAGAGAGAGAGAGAGATTATTGCATAATATATTGGTATATAATAAACGAAGTGACTAATTATAAGCGCGTCACGACCAAACGTTCTTCTATTACAAAAACGCTTTCTAGCCGCGTCACATAAATCACGGTTCTCGGAGCGGATTCAATTAATTGCGGCTACATGGAAATGATCCTCGGGCGTCATAAATGGGCTGTGGCTTTGCCAATTGTACCGGATTCCCCCGTTATACCGGGAACTATATATACAATGCCGGCCGTAAAAACGAGAAAGAGCACGGAAAAGTTTTCGCGGTTGCTAAAATGGAAAAAGCGTGGAGACGGCGGGTATTGTTTCCGGTAGCAGGTGCCATTTTCGCGAATGGCACAGTTACCGTGCATTCTCGTCGCACTCTTGCACGTCGGCCACGTGCACACAGAGGAAGAGCGATGATGGAAGGAGAGAGGAGGAGGGGGAGGGGGAGAGGATCGCCGCTGTTACGCTATACGTGTCCTATTCAGAGATGTTTATGCGCCTTGTTCAAAGACCCATTACGAAAATGACCATTAAAATAAATTACTCTCATCGCGCGGCGCTATGGCGACGGTCGCTGGCCGCCAAGCCGGCTGGCTCGATAGCCGCGAATACGTGACGCGGAAATAGTCAGCGGTACGAATCAATTTACGTAAATAATAGAGAGAGTACGCGCCTGGACCGCTAACAATGGGAAAATTCGCGCCACCGGATACACGGCGCTGGCCATTAAATCGGACACATTACGGATGTACGTGCGGACTTGAAATTTCCCAGCTTAAGCGTACCGCGATTCGGAAATATTTCGAGGGGGTTTACGGAGAAATGTACAAATTACATCTGACATTTATAAAAAATTGCCAAAAACAAATTTTAAACGTTGGACCTTTCGTTTGATTTTATCGCCTATAAAGGTATTATAGAATTTTATTCAAACGCTATTTTATTTCTTATCCTATAGTAAGTTATAAAATTGTTTGTATTCCAGAAATATATAAAAAAATACTTGTATTAATTAATACTGTTACAGTTTATATTTTACAGGTTTTTTTTGTGAAATCTGTTGTAAAATTAAGTATGTAGAAACATTACTTATTAATGTAATTTTTCTCTTCTTTGATAAGATTTTTACATTGCTTTAATAATTTGATTTCTAATTCTGTTCGAAAGAAGTCTACGAAATTTTGAGTTAACCAAATCTTGCAAAAATTTATTAAATAGTTTAATAAGTAACATCGATATATAATATTGAGGGCTGATGATTGATAATTGTTGAGAATCTGCAATTGACTACCATAGTTTCCTCCTTTGGATCAGAGTTAAGCTTAAGCTGTTACAATTGTAACGATTATTTAATTTAATAGAATGAAAAAGATTGTAAGTTTTTTTGCATTATCCGACAACAGCAAACAGAAAAGAATAAAATTAATAGGTTAACAAAAATTTGTGTAAAAAAATAATTTTATCTTTTTGGTAAATTTTGACAGAAATATTCACAGATTTCTCTTTTATACAATATTATTACAAGCATTTTTTTACCATCGTATGGACAGATTTTTTTTTCAATTATCATAGTGCATAATATTTTAATCGGCAAACGGAGGGGTCCTCTGTTTGTACGGTTCGCGTCTGTATAGATTCGCGTCGGAATTAAAACCACTGTTTGTACTAGCGCACATTGCCTTTATACAGATGGCATTTATACGTGCCCGAGTTCCACAAACATTCCCAGTAAACCTTGTTTGTACCAGTATTACACTGATATTTTTAATTCTCACCGGCTTGTACGCGAATCGGTCGACTTTCCTGTTTACGGAAACCAACAACATCTGTTATTTTAAATTTATGCTTGGTATAAACATATCTATGTTTAGCTTTGACGTTGCATGCGCATTTCCGAAAAACATTTTTTTTATTATCGATGGCAACGTAACGCACAAATTATTTCAGTCAGTTTGCTTACATCCAGATTATTGTCAATAGTATTTTTTCCAATTTGCAAAGTGAAATGGTTTTTTTTTGTTTTACTCTAAAAAAGCGCATTCTATGAATAACTCTTCATGAGATTCTGTTTTAATAAAAAGTCTCTTTTTGTTAACTTTCACGTGATGGCCGTAATCGATAAACTTTGCCGAAGGCGGCTCTCTCTCTCTCTCTCTCTCTCTCTCTCTCTCTTTTTCTAGCGTTTGGGAAATAGCAGAATAATTCATTTATAGAGAACACTATAATCCCATTTCACTGGATGATATTATTAACTTACCGATCGATCACGCGACACAAAACATCGGACAATTTCCATTGTATCTCAATATCGCATCGTACTTTTTCCCGAGTAATATCGACTATCATTATCGCCACGTTTCTTCGATATTCCTTATTACATCCGACGGTATATCAGAAACAGTGCACGTGGAGAAACACGCGCGGCGATAATTGAATCTCTTTCCATTAAAATATCTGAAGCAGAGTCAAGCTCTTACTAGAAATGGTTTGTGTCTCTCTATCTTTCTGTACGTGTTTGTCTTTTTTTTTATCGTAATCCCAAATGAGAGGAAAGATCCATTTCATTCGCATTTGTCGGGAATTTTCTGTCTTTATTTTTCACCGCGGCGTACAGCCTTTCTCGCGCGGAAGTCAAACGCGCGTTCGATGGCGGATAAAATGCCGGTACATCAAAATCCTTTTTCGGCGCGATTCAGCAAATATTGACGCTCGTGAATTGAAATTTGCATCGACAGCGAAATTGGCAAAATATTTCCGTACGCAAAAGAGAATGTTAGGCTGCGGTGGCCGCAAAAACGAGACAGGAAGTCGAGAGGAAAAGGCAAAAGGGAAACGGTCTTCCCGCGGGATACGGCTGGACGAAGGGAAAACTGTAGCCTTAAATTTAATATGACGCGATATATGCTACGATCGATTCAGACGCGCCTCCCGGCCACTCGGTCCGCCAATTGAATTCCATGGCAAATATGCGGCTTCTCGATGCTATTCTACAAGATGCAACATGCGCGCCGAGCGTTTTCACGAACGTTTTGTTTGGTGAGAGAAACGGAACTATTGTTTCTTTTTATTATTTCTCTCTCTGTGCGTACACTCTACACGAAACATATAGAGTTAGATTTTCATAAAACTTAAAATACGAGGATAATTTTAAAATTGTAAGAGACGCAACGATTTTTCTGCGCTGCTATTGTTTTTAAATATATATCAGAATTGTTATCTCATTGGTATTTATTATATATTATTAATCAGTGAATTTATTAATGTTTAATCAATAAATTATTAGAGAAATAATAAATAATAAGAGATATATATTAATAAAAAATAAAGTTTTTAATTTATTTTTGTAAGTTTCAAATTTCTTAAGTAGTTTTAACTTGTAATTTGATTAAATCTGATGCAAAGAATTTAATAGTAGCACATATAATTTTTAAAATTATTATCTTTTATTAACTTGCTTTTTTAACGATGATTCATCTTTCAATTTTCAGGGTCCGGTCGGGGAGGTGGGCGGCGTGAGGCTGCCACTGCAGTCATTACATGGATACGGATCTGTGTTCATGTACTCGGCGTCGACGAGTCCCGGGGGTGGAGGTGGTCAGGGTGGCGGAGGCAGGGGTGAAGTCACCCTCCGCCTCCGCGAACCCGAGGACATTCCCGAAGAGGTCCTCGCTCGTCTCGAGGACACCGCCACCCTCTCCATCTCTCTTCAAAGCGATGCAGTCCTGAGGCTAGGGGCGGCTGGCGCAGGTAACATGCCTCTTACCCTCTTCTTCACGTTTGCTTACTGATCAAACATGAAACGCGCGCAGAAGTACGCTTGTTATGATACCGTAGGAGATGGTTAGACATGAAAGCTGCTGCGATCGATCAAGTAATTCTAAGAAAATAGCGTTCTATGAGCCAAGAGTCGACTAAATTATATTGATACATTAAACTTTATCGTAATAAAAATCATCGATATAAAATATAAAATATAAAAAGACTGCGTTTCATAAACATTATGCAAGAATTAATTTAATATATAATAATACATAGCTACATCAGATTTTATTTGTAAATGATGCTGCGTATATAATTAGTTTTGGAAATATAACAATACTCATATAATTTTTTATAGTCATATAGTCATATAATTTTTTT